CAAGTAGTTTAGAAAGGAAAATGTTAACAACTTAACTCATGCTCATCAGCTGGTAGACAATACCATAAATATTATCACAGAATCTATTTATCAAGCGGTATCTTTTGCGCACTGTATGTCATTATGTATCATTTCATTTAATGCTCACAACCATATTAAAGGATCATTAAACCTATTTTACAGATGAGAAGACAGGTTCAGCAATTTTTCCATCGTCACCCAGCCACGCCAGTAACTGGCAGGATCAGCATTTGTATACAGATCGCTGATTTCAGACCACATTCTCAGCTACCATATATATGTTGTCCTCATTCCCCAGCCCAAACTGTGCCTTTTGCACTCAATTCTGGTTAATTACAGTTAGCGCTTGATGTTTCTGTTTTAACCACAGATAGAGGTGGGAAGTCTAAGAAACTGACTCGGGTACAGAGAACCTAGGTCCAGCTTATGTGGAGGAAGGCCACTGTGATTCCACAGAGAGCAACCAGTCAGCACTCAGCTCACAAGATTCCATCTCCCCTTGGGATTGCCACTCCTGTGGAGTAACTGGAGGTGGATGAGACACTCCTAGGCTGCTTATAATCTTGACAGGCACTAAACCAGGACACTTGCCAACCTTTACAAACCAAAATCCCACCCAGAAAAGTTTCCATGACTCTTTGCTGATCATGGCTCCATGAGGAAGAAAGGACAAGATTTAGCAATGACTTTATTTACTCATTTATATACACTCCACTGCTTTTCAAAATGAACTGGCAGTTTAAAATTAAAAACCCAGAATCAATGAAACAATTATTAATGATAACCGCTAACATTTACTGAGCATAGTCTATGTATGTAAAAGCATTAACATGTAATACTGTTTCATTCTTTTATCCTCCACAGCCTTTTGAGATAGACATTACTTTTATGGTCCAGATCTTACAGACAGAAAAATAAAACATAAGGAAGTTATAGTATTTCTCCACGGTTGGTTACACAGCTAGTCAGTGGTGCAAGCAAATTTTAAACCCGATAATCTGTTTCCACAGGTGATGTTGACCACTATGCTACCCTGCCTCCATAGAACAAGGGTAAAAGAACAAGCGCAGAGTAAGATTCGAGGGGTGTTAACAACAGAAGGTGCAAACAAGGAAAGTGGCTAAAACTGAAAACTTGATTTGAGCTCCCTAGTCGTCAATCCTTAAAGAAAAAGATGAAGAATTAACTTCAGTAGGGTATCCTATTGTCCCGGTTTTCACAGGGCTGAGGCGTTCCAATAACACAGGGATTTCAGTGCCAAAACTGAGATGGCTGAATCCCTTACTAATAAAGTTTTGTGACATTTGATTAGGCCTCAGATCATGAAACACATACAAAATCTTTATGGTGTTTTCAGACCTACACTGGCTCCTTCAGCACCGCCTCTCACCATCATTAAAAATACTAAATAATTTTTCTTAACATTCTGCTTGGGAAAGATGAAGGGGTTGTGGAAAAATGAAGCCCTGTTAATTGCTGGGTTTCAATCATGACATCTATTAGTATGTTCAAGAGTCTGGGTAAGCAAGGCACACAAATTCTAGGTTAAATTTTGCTCTGCCAACTCCAGCTGTGCTTTAATTTTCTTTCCCAAGGTCGTACAGGATTGCTTTCTTTAAAAAAAACAAAAAACAAAAATAACTTCCCTACATAACAAGCAGAGATTCAAGCCAGTCATTCTTAGAGAGCTTGGTGGTAATCTTGTCAGAACTCAGAGATGAAAACTAAACCAATGCTTCTTAAAGCTGTTTGAAACATCAGCTCTGAAATCAGCGATGAGCTTCATGAAAATGGGGACTGGGTCTTATTTATTTTTGTTTCCTTAATAGCATCGTCTTGCAAATAAACATTGTCTTAACTGCAATCTTAATCTTAGCAAGTCAGAGCTAAAAAGATCCTTAACCATCATTTAGTGCAAATGTTTACATATGAGTAAACTGAGACTTGGAAAAGAAAATTCGTTAGTCACAAAGCTGAGCTGAGACTAATTGAATTAAATGGGAAGTGAGCTCTTCCCAATTAAGGTGAAAAAACCCCAACTACCACCACAAGACTGTAGGAAAGAAAATAAGACATCATTAAAGGGATAGGATTTTTAACTATAATCCAGGTGATCTGTCGGGGTCTTCAGAAATCTCAAGTGCAAGTGAAAAAAGGAAGCAAATAATTTAACAATCCGTGCAAAATAAATGAGCAACTATGCAAGTGGGAAAGACAAAATATATTTACCTTGGGGAGAGGAGCAAAGTTCTGCCATGATATGTTGAAATTTTCAGAAAACCTGAAGACATTTTAGACTAAATATTTTATAGATATTTTCTAGCCAACTAAAGTTTCTAATTAGATTAAGGTCAATTGTTTTTCTTAATATAACAGAAATATGACATGATTGCATCCAACCAAGATCCCTGACCACCTACGACAGGCCAGTCACTGTGCGAGGCCATCAAGCCTACAAAACAATGGCATGTTCTCAAGCAAGAAAGAGTGAAGCCAAGGAAAAGGTAAGCCAGCCTCCAGACAATACGCACCATCATAAAAACATTCCAAATGTCAAGAACTGACAGAAAAATTCCAATGAAAATCTCCAAGCATCAATCCAATCACTCTATCCAATGCATAATCAAATCAATGGATCAATCGACCAGTGATTTTGAGCATCTGTCACCTGCTCAGAAAAACAAGCCTTTCTTTAAGAAATAAAAAATTAAGAGAATAAGACACAGACAGGCAGATAGATACAGATAGGCAGACAGGCAGGTAGGTAGACAGATAGACAGATAAAGAAAAATAATGCAGGTGGTATAAAGTGTTGCCAAGTAACTTGGGCAGGCACGATCATTTTGGATTGGAATGGCTTAAGTGGAGGAGCCTAATCTGGCTTTGAGGCATTTGATGAGCAGAGTGTAACTGTGTTACAGCTGTGAGAAACAGTGATAGCAGTGGCACCAAGATGGAAGGGACTAAGGTGTGTCCAGATGACAGGGAGCCAAACTGTGTGGTTGAAGCAGAGGGTTCAAATGGGAAACCCTCATTGGCGATAAAAGTGAAAAGGCACACTGGAACTAGCCTGTGAAGAATCCTCTATTCCAAGATCGGGAGTCTGGTGAAAGCACTACACAGCTGTCTAAGTTGCCCCATTTTCAAGCTATTTTTTTCAAAAGAGGTATAATTTGATCCTTCAAATTTGTTATGGCTAGATATAAGCAGATCAACTTTAAAGTTACGTGATTTTTAAAATATCTATATGCATTCACAGGTTGCAAGTGGAATCTTAAGGCCAAGAACAAGTGAGCAGATGTCTGCAGACTTGAGAACCAAGCTGGCGTTCCCCAGCAGTCATTTTCCAAGGAATCTGGGCAAAACACACTTTCTTTTGCCTGAATGGAAATAGCATCTACAAAGTTCCTTGTAGTTATTTAATACAAAAACATAACACCAGCAAAACAGAGCTGAAGCTATTCTAAAGTATAGCTTACACAAATATTGTAGTGTATTTGAAGAAAAAGAAATAACTAGAAACAGTAGAATAAAAAGAATATTTGAATTGAACATATATTTACTGTTCAGAAAAGCCATTTTAACAAAGAAAAACTTTATTCATCTTAAACATTTTCCTTAAAATCATGTTAGCGATCCTTCATAATCATTAATATATACTCATTTAAAGAAAGTTTAAAGTTCTTGCAAATAGTTTAGCAGTAACCACTTACAATGACTGTCTTTTCCTTTTTTTTTTCTTTTTTTTTGTCACTCAGGCATGTTGCTTTAGAACGGCTGCTTTGCAGAAATCTCATCATAGGTAACTGAGTCGCTCTCCAGAATATACTTGCAAAGCAACATCCTAGTATTTACACTAATATCCAGGCAGTCAAGGAAAAGACCCTTTTGTTTGGTTAGCGTTTCTAGATTCCAGGGGGGCAGGTGTGTGTTTGGGGTGTCCTACCATTTTTTTAAATGCTCACATAAAACAATTACTAAAAAAGAAGCTTGTGACTTGGACATGCCCCAAGTTCAATTCTTACAGGAGTGGTAAAAACAGTCAACAGAGTCCTAACCTCCTTTCTATCTTGACTATACAATAGTTTTCAAAGAGGTTTAGTCCTACTATGAAAGACTCATGTTAGACATTGGAAGGGTCTCATAGAGAATGAGCACCAGGCCTTGAATAAACAAGAGAGATGGTGACCTTTTGCTCCCTTCTGCTGAAAGCCCAGCACATCCTGTAGCAGAGGACCAGAAAAAAGCTGATGTGCAACCAGGTGCTGCGAAATCCTTGCCTCTGGGTTTCTGCCACACTTTGTCCCTTAAACAGTTTAAACCTCAACATGACTTAAATAGTATTAGGGAGTGAGAGAAAAGTACAGTTCCTGGAACCAACTGTTCCACTGTCCCTTATTCCTTTGTTCCCCATATTGTTTGAGTCCTACAGCATGCAGCACACGTTTCACTAGCAACAGGCAAGACAATGGATCTAGCAGTAGCTGGACAATTAGTCCCAATTAGGCCTATTTCCCAGCTGAATGTAAAGGGGTAGTGGGGTGAGGTGTGGGGAAAAAAAAAAAAAAAACTACAGAAATTTTAAAGAAATATTTCAGAATGGAGGCAAGCAATACAATGTAAAGCAAATTTAACTAGGGGTCAGGAGTCTCAGGCAAATTCGCTGTGTGGCATTGCAAATACTTTAACCTCTCTGTTATTTTCTGTTCTTATGTATAAATATGGGCAACCAACCACCAGCCCTCAGAGGCTCTGAAAATCTAATGTCAAATTGTGGTTGAAAGTGCTCCGAAAATTCGAAATGTTACACAGATGTATGGGATTCCTCCTGAGCTGTATTTGAAACCACAGATACCCATCTGATTTGTAAATCATTTACCTGTTAGTCTCCCTAGCAGAAGTTAAGAGTGAATGCTTTTCTTTTTTTTCTTTCTATTTTCCTGATTGCTAATTTTGTTAAGTTCATGAGTGATACTTACATATGTACATGTGGAGGCTGGAATCTGCTCTGGTTGATGTTGTAGTGCGTGAATGCCTGGGTGGGGTTTGAGCTGTACTCATCCACCGTTATGGTAACTTTGCCTTGAGAAGGAATCCCATGTGCCATCCTTCCTCCCTATAGGCATGAGCAATTCACAACTTTACAGAGCAAAAGATGGAAGCAGGCATGGTGCGTTTCAGCCAACCTCTGAATCCAAGGATCTACTCATCAATACCGCTGTGCATTTCTGAAAGAAAAAAAAAATGTATATAAAATGAGAACAAAGAGAAAAAGGGTGTTCTAAGAGACATAAATTTAACATCTAGATGTGAAACTAGTTCAGGGAAAATCTGAATATGTGTTGTTGGCTCGTGGATACAACTGTTCCCATCTCTCTTCCCTTCATGCACTTCAAAGCGGATAGTACACTCTATACATCATTGCTGGGTGCTAGCAAATCATCTCAATGGAGTTCAAACTAAGATTTCCTCTTTAATTATAATTATGGCACTTAACGTGAATTACGGAAGGGGCATATCCACAGTTGCCATGGCATCTGGCTATACATGGTTTGTGCTCAAAGTGAAGAATCTTCCAAACCTTCCCTGCTAATTGGAACGTTTGGTCTTTACAAAGTTGGTGTCATATAATCATTTGAAAGCTCCATGTTTAAAACAGCTATATAACTCAATGACAGATAAGAATTTAAAATGTTGTACTTATAACAAATACATGTGTATAACTATAACATGCTCATAATACCCACACAATACACATATTTTTTCTTTCACAAGCAGCTCCCAAAATACATAGGTAGGCAATGCTTGGCATTCCTCTCTGGCCCAGAACCTTGTGGTAAGGCAAATCCTTCTTGTTAAATGTAATGTCATTTCTTTCAACACTCCAGTCACTCAGGGGAAAGCCAAACACCTCCAGGTCTGGACCACCACTTTGAATGCATTCATTACCTCCCTTCTTCAAGCCCCGATGGAGCGGTAAAGAAGGGCGGCCATTATATCTGCCACCTCATTCTTGGTGCAACATAATTCTCAGTAGTTGGTTTCGTTTTTTAAAAATTTCCATTAGTTCTGATTTTTTCATAAATGTCAATATATTATTTGCTGCACTGGGTTGAGAAATGAAGATGTCTATTTTTATGGTAGGTGTGCAAAGGCGGAGGGAAGCAAACTCTCATGTCCAGGTTGTTGCAACTGATCAGTGCGATAGAGAAGAATCCGTAGTACGCTCCTTGGGTAACCCTTAGGTAACCCATGCTCTTACTTTAAGTGCTCCACATCAGAATAGGTTTGCCGTGTGCACCATTAAGCTCTGAGAATCTTATCTGCTATTTCAAATAAAAATATTTAGAATAATAAGATTAGATTTTAAATTGGCATGAAACACCTTAAATATCGAGCAAAAGGCAGATGGCCTGCCATAGGCCATTTATTTTATTATTTTACAACCCGGGGCTTGTGTAGTCCTCCATATGCTAGCTGGGCTAAGAAATTCCAGAGTGTTCTACTCAAATCATTGCCTTCTTCATATTAGCAAAGCAAGCTAAATAACACCCACCCTGCCTGCCTTCCTAATGTCAAGTGCACTGCCAAGAGATGAATCCCCATGCTCTGGCATTTTAAACAAAGTGTCACTTTGGGTTCTCTTTCTTTTTCCTGACTTCATGGGAGGTATGAGTCTTTTAAGCACCAGATGACAGACAACCAGGCCAGTAGGATTAACTAAATTAAAATCTTTCCCTGCTCCTCTGATGTAAGATATCTATAAGAACTGCTTACAAATCATAATGTAGCAGTTTTCATACCAAGTTTGCAGCTGTTTCCTTAATTTCCCCCACAATTATATTTTACTGTTATTTTGCATAACAGTAAAACACAACACCTGCTTCAAATTGCAGTCCTGTTCTAAGTACTGTAATTCTCTTTTGAGACACAAAGTACTGAGACACTACTGAAGCGCAAAACTGCATAATTGCGTGGCGCTGAAAAGTAAATACAAATGAAAACATCTTCCTGTTATAGAAATGACTGTCATTAAAAAGAATGTTAGCCATCAAAGCACAGAGGGGGAAAAATACACATTTTCAGACTGTGAGAACTTAGTGTTTGCATAAATTAGAGAGTGGTGTAAAAATTACTTGACAATTCTTATGTTCCTTCTTCCATCAATGTCTATTGTGTGAAATACTGAACATTAAGAAGCAAAGGAAATCAAATTCATGTCTAGACCACTGTGACCTCTGAGTAACAATCTCTGCACCCAATACTAGAAAGATTTTAAATGTTTCTGGAGTAAACACACTAAACCAAGCAAATGTGGCCTAGAAATAAAATATACATAACTAATATTTAAACATCTGAGCAATGACTTGTAGCAGTTAGCATGATACCCACCCAAGTTCTACTATTTGAAGCTAAGAAGAGACAGAACTTAGCAGCTGATCAATTTGCACTTCTACATGGTCCGCTTGATCCTAAAGTCATCCTTCTCTATCAGTGAACATCTATACCTCTTTGCACCTTTGCCCCAGGAAGACAAATAGAACATCTTTTCATCAGCAAGCACAGGCCCCTGTAACTCTGAAAGGCTAAATGGGTGGCTGGCACCTCATTTGAATTCATCTTTGCCATGTTCCCTTTCAAATGTTTTATCGAAACAGTGCACCTGCAGCGTCTATCTTCTTTAATCTGGAGTCCTTTGAAGAAAATGTCAGACTGAGGCAGAGAGCTTCAAAACTTTCACAGCACCTTTACAGACAAGTCAAGAAAAGGCTTATTTTTAAAAATGCTATGTTCACCCCCACCCGTATCTCAAAATGAACATATCCTAAGAATTTTAAACATAAACACCTGGAAAAGACTTTTTTTTTTTTTTTTGTAACTCTGAGACAAGAGACAATGGACAAAACCACTTCCTATAACCTGAGAAATGTGGAGAGAGTTTGAAACAAGACAGAATGATACACTGCTTACAACTATCAAGAAGATGTGCATTTAGGCAGTAAAATCTTCCAAATGATCAGATTTTGGTGCATCTCGCCCTCTTCACACTTACTTTAACTTTTCACACACAATATTTAAAGACAGCGCTAACCTTTTCGTAAATTTTCATTTTGTACTTCAACACACTTGCTCCACAAAACAAACGAACCCAGGACGAAATATCAAGAAGCCAAAAGAAAAATCTAAAAGGGACTGACACTGCCATGCTGGTGCTAGTTTGATTTTTCTCTTTAAAAAGAAAATCATGTGAGTACATTTTGCATTTCCTAGACAGCAATCGCTTCTGTCCTTTAAGCTGTACAACTAGCAATATTCTTTTCCAGGAATCTAGTTGGAAAACCTTTTAAAGTCGCCTGGCAATAAAGGGATTAAAAGCTGAGGAATTAAATAACTGTCTCCACCTCCTAGACACCAGAAGTCCAATTTACCAAAACTTTCAAAGCAACAACTCATGACCTCTCTACCCCTGCACTGCCCAGCACAGCCTATGAGAAAAGAGCCGGCGGTTTTCTCGTTTCAACAGGAATGCTCATTTTAATCACTTGCCCCAAAATCTCCCGACCGAGCCTGGCGGGACTTTGGAACTTGCCTGCTCCAAATCCGCCAAATTTCGCTCTCTCCTCCCTCTGCCGCGCCGATCCAGTGCGTTCTTAACTCACGCCCCTACTCTTTTATGCCCACTTCCAGTTACTCATCCCTGTATCTGGGAGCGATGCCCACACGCCTTCCCGGCGGGCTTCTCCGCCAGGGTTTTTTTGGGGGATGCTGACATAAAGTTCCACGTGCTTCTGTCCACCGAGCGCCCTCCCTCCCACCGCACTTACACCTGAACTTGTCTCCAGCACTGCGGACACCCGGGTGACACATTCTTTCGGAGAGGGAGGGCAAGACTTTTCTACGGAGCCTCTGGCAACTCGTGGAGTCTATATAAGGTGGGGCGGTGGGGGGCGCGGAATTCTCTACTTTGGATTGGTTTGTTTGTTTTAAATCTAGGGTGGTGGGCAGTTGCGCGGAGCGGGGTTGGGGGGGAGGCTTTATCAGCACACACACACACACACACACACACACACACACACACACACTCACACACACACACTCGCCCTGCCCTTCTAGGCTCACGGCTGGCTCTTCCCGGCTACAACTTCCCCTTCCTTCCTGGAGCACCAGCGCCTTACTCGCTCAGTCCCCCGTTGCCACCTCCGTTGCCTCCGCGGCCGCCGCTGCTGCTGGCACTGCTGGCGCTAGCGCTCGCGGCCCCGGGCTCCGCTGGACGCCTATCTTTTTTCTCTCCCTCTTCCCTAGCTCTGGGTTGATTGATGACCACCGGCGGCCAATGGCTCTGACACCACGCCATCCTCGGTCGGGCATCACAGCCCCACGTCCCCGACGTCAGCCTCCCGGGCGCGTTGGCATCCCCGAACCCACAGCGCGGAGCCCGAGCCCGGGGCCGCCGCCTCCTCCCTGCTCTGCGCCTGGGCGCTGCCAGGTTCCTTCCCCGGAACGGCTGAGAAAGGAAGGGAGGGAGCCAGAGAGCGTTGGAAGGGGGTGTGGAGGCCACGGGATCTCCCCCTCTTTTGAAATCTTTTTTCACTTAAACTTTTGCTTGTTTTTCCCCCCCGACCTGTTTGTGTTTGTTTGCAACATCTCAAATCAATTATACATTTTTCACGACTCGCATTTGCACTTAATTTGGGGTGTGTGTGTGAGAGGGGGGTAGTGATGTACTATTATAAATCAACTCCACTGGGGCATCCTTAATTTATTTTCTTGCTGACGGATTCCAACCCGCTCCTGAGCCTCTAGAAAAATGCCCCCTTCACCTCCTAGGCCGCAAAACCCCGTAATTCAAAGGCTTTACAAAGATAACCTTGTTACACGTAAATAGCAAGGAAACTCCTGCCTCTGTAGAGAAGAAATCCGGCGGCAACGGTTACTTTTCCTGGCTACTCGTCCCCCGTCGCCTAGCCCCGATCCCAGCTCGGGTCGCCGGGTCGCTCCGCAGGCTGCGAGCGCGGAGACCCAGGCAGCGGCGGAGAGTGAGGTTGGGGCGCGGGGACTGGGTGAGAAAGAGCCCCGAGCGAGAGCGGCGCGCGCGGGCGGCCCCAGGGGCGGCCGCGGGGTGCAGCCCGAGCACAAAGCTGCGCGGCGCCTTCCCCTAGTCACTGCACCTGGCCTCGGGCCGCCGCGGGAGACCAAGGATCGGGCCAACACAATGCACCCGGGCCTAGGCCGGGGCGGCTCGAACACATCACCCCGGGACTTTCTAGTAAACAGCTCGCTGAGCCCTCGTCCCCACCCCCATCTCCGTCGCCCGGCTTTCGCCGCAGCTTCTCGCCGATACCCCCTCCTTTCCTCCTCAGAAATCCCGGCGGAGGAGGGGGCGAAGAGGTGGGGACCCCCAGAGGTCGGGGGGCTGATGGCTGGAGGGGGTGGGGGAGAAGAGAAGAGGCGCAGGATGGGGAGTGGGAGGGAAGACAGCTCCTAAAAAAGAATTTGCTTTCGCTCAGGGGTTGAAAATCAGCCCTCCCCGGGCGCCGAATTGCCCGGGAGGCGCCCGCTCGTGCGGATGTCAGGGGCACCGGGGCAGCCCGGGTCCGCAGCCTCCGATCCCCTCGCACGCGCCTCTGACAAGGCACCTCTCACCCGGGCTCCGCTTTGTGTGTGCATTTTTTTCCCTTCCTCTCGCGCTCGGCACCAGGCTCCCGGCCGCCTCCTCCCCCTCCCCCGCCCTCCGCCTCCCTTCCCGGGGCGGATTACCTTTCCCGGGCTGCGCTCCGGGTCCCGGGGATGCCTTCAGCGCCCGGCGAGCAGGCAATCCATAGCTGAGCGGCCCGAGCTGGCTGGAGGAGCGCTGGGGGCGCGCGGGGGCGGCGAGGGGCGCGGGCGGGCCAGAACCTTCGACCCCGGAGGTCCCGCCGCAGGCTGGGGCTGGGGGCCAGGGGGCGCGGCGCTAGAGGGAGGCGGGGGGAGAAAGGACCGGAGCAGCCTCGATCTGGGGAGAGAGCGAGCGAGGGGGCGAGGAGAGGGAGCGAGGGCGCGGCGAGCCGGAGGGAGCGCGAGCGGTGCAGTGACAGGGACTGCCACTGGGGTCAAAGGAGCACAGCTCCAGGAAGCAGGGCGGCTGAGGCGCCGCTCCGTGCGCGCTCCCCGGCGGGACCCCGCGCCCCTGCACGCCTCTCCTGCAGTCCCTGCCCACTCGGACCCCCACCGGTGCCCTGAAGCCCCAGGGTTTCGAGAGGAGGAGGGAGCCGAGGGCGAGGCCCGGCAGCCTGCTGGTGCTCCCGGGTCAAGCAGGCGGCAGGAAGCTGAGCTGCAAGTTCATCATCATGAGTGTGATCTGCGTAAAAAATGATAGGGGAAGGAAGGCAGGCTACGGTGCCCCAGGAAAATAAGGGATCTTTCTCCCAAATGGTGTTCTTCTGCAAAGAGAACACCCAGCTCCCCCCACCCACCGACCTGCCAGGCTCTGTCAGGAGTCCTGGCACCGTTCCAGGACGCAGGGCTCACCGTGGGGGTAAGGGGAGCGGCTGGGACACTTCACTCAGACCTAGGAAGGCGACCTTAGGTTCCCTCCCATCTGCTGATCTGAGGCTTTCCTGGGGGAGAGCTGTGCTCCTTTTCCCCCAAGCCTTTCAACACGCCAGACACACACACACACACACACACACACACACTCACACACTCACCTCTTTCTCTCTGCAATGTTGCTGAGAAAGAAAAGGCCAACCCAGCTGATCATTTTTTTCACCTCCATGAATTAAGGCAGGTTCAGGACAGGAAGGTGAGGAGAAGCAAAGACTCTAATTGTTTCCATTTTCGTCTTTTGGATCAAATTTTCCCCAAAAGATAAGCACGTCAAAAGCATTTTAAAAATCAAAGTTAGTCCAGTTTTGTCTGCTACTTTGGAAAATGGAAGAAAAGGTTTTCGGAATTGTATACAAACACCACAAGGAAAGGAAATACCGCTGAAATGCTGGAAGACAGAAAACAAGGGAGAGAAGGCTTTCAGAAAACTTGGTTGGCAGGGTTGTCTGTGAAAGATGAGGTGGCCCTGTGATGTTATGCCATTGTCATTGCTGAAAGATTGGGACAGCAACCAGATCTAATTCCTTTCTAGGAGTCAGACTGAAAGAGCTTTGCATTCTCTGAAGGGAAATCCAATGTATATGTGTGAGAGAGAGAAGTGTGCAAAGTATACTATGTGACAATCGACTAGACATCCTAGCTGAAATTGTATCCCCTAAAAATAAAAAGGAGCCATTGCAACCTGGTCTGTGGCCTCTGTGCTGAGACTAATTGGTTTCCAGGGTCTGGGGAGGAAGGGAGAGACGCTTGTAGGAGCCCCTATAAAAAAAAGATCAAACGGAATTCACTTGAAAATATTTCCTTTACAATGGGCTTTCCTGGCACTTGAATTTTAAGTAACCCATCTCTTATGCCTAGGATGAAATGAAAAGGGAAATGGTCTTACTAATGTATTTATTTTATTTTACAGCATGCCCAGAGTGTCAGTACTTGTCAAATGTGCCGGGGTGGAAAGGACAGTGTCTTTCCTTGCCCAGCACAAATCAGAACAAGTGACACTGACATTAAAGGATGCCAAAGATGGGGGCATAGGGGCACCCTTACATTTTGTTTTCTTTTGTTTTCTAGTCCATCAGCGAACACTGACTAGAATCACGTTTTTGAAGGAATGCTTGGTTTTGTTTCCCTTACTCTGTGACTTGAGTAGCACATTCCTCATATCTTAACAGTTTGAATTTTTAGACTGATTTGGGCTGATTTAATCAGTTCAAAAAAGAAAAAAAAAAAGCATCACCAGCCAAATAATTTCTGTGGTTTCCTTCTTAAAAAAAAAAAAATTGCAGTCAAACAAAGCAGACAAACTAGTTTGAACATGATTCTGAATCTAAATATGTGCAACCAGACAGTAAATAATAATGCTTTCTACTTTAGTGGTACGTTTTACAGGATACTTAATGCCACAAAAAATCAAGTGGGTTATCCTTTACAAAGTTGATGAAAATTTGTATACCATTTTACTGAGTGGGGAAAGCTGAGGTAAAAAGACTTAAAATTGTAGTTTGTAGTGCTGGAAGAAGTCAATTTGCTGATAGATCAATTATCCAATGATGACCAAGGTATATTTGGATTATGAAATTTTATTTTCATTAGGCTACTAACAAGCGGGAGATATGAAATTGAGTTTAAATAATAAACCAGGAACAAAAAGACACTCACTTTTCAAATAATTATCTTTACGTGGATTTGAACATACCGCATTTTGTTAAATCATATTGTCCACAAATACAGCTACCTACACTAAAAGCTTAATTTAAAATTATTGGATGTGAACCATGTCTATCCCACTTCCCATATAAGCTTTGAAATGTTACTTTATATCAAATTCTAAATCCTATAGGCTGCAGCTTTTTTTTTTCTAAGATAAGTGAGTCTATAAGTTCCATTTTGTTGTTGTTGTTAAATTCAGCTTTTACTGTGTATAATGGAAAAGAAAAGAAGGACAAAAATCAAATACTAAGTTTATGATTGGCTTCAAGGAAATATTACAATTTTTTTCTTTTAATAGAACTCAAAGCTGGACCCTTTCCCCAGTGATTTCATTGAAGGAACTGGTGAATATGCCTCCTGATAGCCCACTGCAATACCTTTTAAATTATCTTTTCAGAATGCATTTAGGAAAGAAAATGAGAAAGAGGAGCGTGGGAGAACTTTGGGTGAAAGCTTGGAAAGAAAATGATGCTTCCCTTGAAAGCTCAATACTTTATTTGGAGTTGGCTTTCATCTTCCCTATGAGAACAGGTTTTCCTGTACTTCAGAGATGTGTATGGCTTAAAACTTGGTTCAATACTGTGGTTCTTCTTCTAAAAAACAATCCATTGAAATTACTGCATTTTGTTGGATAATTTCATTGAAATGAAATATACCAGTCTAACTGTAGGAACAAACAGCAACTATTTTATTTCTTTTTTTCCTTAAGTTGTAAGCATTTCTATCATTTTACAGCAAAGGCTAAGATGTGTATTATCAGAAATCAGAGCCTCTTAATAGAATTACCACTATGATGTAGTTAGAAAATAAAACTGAACCAACGAACTATTTTTTTTCTGAATTCTCGCAGTTCTTATGTTTTTTTCACTTGTTTCATTCAAATGTTTTATTATGACTCCTCCAAGTTGAATAACAATGTCCTATATTTCTTTGGGTTCTTTGTGTTGGGAATAGTTGTTAAATGATTGTATTTGTCAATAAATGAGAAAGTAAAGAAGAGAACACATCAGTGAATGAGGCAAATACACAATGAAGAAAAATCCACACCAGATCTGCAGGAGAGGAAGTGATGTCATGAGGCAATGTTGTAGGATAAAAGCTAAGGACTTCCCAAGGAGTTAAAATAGCACATTTTAAAGGTCTTACTAATGTCTTTAGAAATATGAAATAATCCTAAGACTGTTTTAAAAATTAATTTTCTTGTAGAGAAACAAGATTGTTATGTATCATGGCCATTTAAAGGCAGCCCTCTTTTTAAATACAGCAGGATGCCACAATAAAAAGAATTCTGAGTAAAACTTGTTCCCTAAAATGTACAGAAATGTATCAAGCCATTCTGAAAAGAAACTTACATGATTAATCTAATTCCTTAATTG